AATAGGGGGTAAAAAATAACAGGAAATGAAGTGCCTATATTGATCCCATTTTTGTAGGCTGATTTAGAACTTTGTTCTGGCAGCTGGACAAGAGGGTTAATCTTCTCATCTTTGTTCAGATAACTGATTGATTGAGAGGAGTTAGTTTCTGTCCCCCCGCCCTGCCCCCAATTAGGTTATGCTTTCCTCATGATCTGCTAAATCCTCCCATTGATGCTGGTGCAAACGGCCATTCAGAGAAGACAGACTTAAAATAGATTTCCACTGATAAAAGAGGATTAATCCATTGCTGTATTTCTTTTCTCTAAAGGCATCTGAAGAACTACTTAAACAACATTACATTGACCTGAAAGATAGACCTTTCTATTCAGGTTTAGTTAAATATATGAATTCTGGGCCTGTAATAGCCATGGTAAGTATCTATTTATGAACCTAGAAATATTATTTTACTTAGCCCCCACCCACCCCCAATTTTCCTGAGAAGGATAATTTAGCAGTTGGGTGATTTACCAGGCCTCTTATGTAACATGAACATATGTTTCCTGTAGAAAAAGGCTATTTTAATGCATGATAATAAATACTACATATATTTTAAAAAGTACTGTTCTAGGAACGGATTGTTATCTTCTCCGTCAGACCTTAGCATTCTGCCCATTTCAGGAATGGTCTGGTGGTTTTGGGGAAGTTAATTCCCTGAACAAGAAGTAGTTCATGGTGCCCCATATGAGATTGTATTTAATGTTTTATTACATAGTAGGCTTTATTTAATATATTGGATTTCTGGTCAGTGACTGTAATCATTTTGATTGGATTTGTTCCACATGAAACAAGCTGGTTTCATTCCTGGACTAGTAGATGTTGCATATCCTAAGTAGGAAATCATGGGGTCGGAGACATGATAGCAATTTACAGGATAATATATGGAGTGGATTAAATGTCCCTATTCCATCGTATTAAAAGACTACGGTTATGAATTGAAACTGAACGATGATAGACTTGGAACAGAAAAGTAAGAACTTACACGATAATGCATGGAAACGTGAAATTCATTCTGTAGGATAGCAAATTCAGTTGCAATTTAAAAGGGAAAACCAAATCCTGGTGAATGGGATTTTCAGTGGTGATTAATAACAGTAGATATTATTACCCATTGTTAATACCGGATAAAGCTCCAGAATAGATGTCAGTCTACTTTGGAACAGGTAAACGTGAGCAAGAAGATGCTGTTGCACTTGGTTCTTCTTTGCCTGATTCCTGCTGGCCAACATGGAAGCCAGATACTGTCTTTTTTGGCTAAGCTTCTTAAATCTAGTAATTCCAGTTGATGTCTACACAGCTAAAAGAAAAATATATTAGTACGTGACTTTAAAAAAAAAAGTATAATATAATAAAGCCCATAGCTATTCATTCTGACAATGCCATATTTAGATCTATGTGTTAAACCTGTTTATTTTTATAGGTTTGGGAAGGACTTAATGTTGTGAAGACAGGCAGAGTAATGCTGGGAGAAACCAACCCAGCAGATTCCAAGCCTGGCACCATTCGTGGTGATTTCTGCATTCAAGTGGGCAGGTTGGTGCTGCAGTTTACTCTCTTGTATGTTATCTGAAGCCCTGCTAGAATTAATATTGTCATTTAGGTCCTTTAAAAGCAACTAAAGAATATAACCTTCGTGCTTCAAAAATAGTGTCAGATACAGTTAATCTGTGTAAAATATTCTGTTCTTCTAATGCA